TATCTTAGTGCTTTGGGCTCAGGAAAGGCCAAAAGGCAGGCAGGGTCTCAGGTCTCTAAGGTTATCTCCTCTGAGAACTTCGTGCTGGGTCTGAAACTCAGTTCATGGGACAAAGGGTCAGAGAAACACCCTTTCAGCAAGGATTCATTCATAGCCACAGAGTGCATCCGAGGGAGAAAGGAGATTGGAAATCATAGCCTGGGCTTGATTCATTCCTTTCTTGCTATGAAAACAGGGCCAAGTGATTTAACCTCATTTGGCATTAGCTTCCTTGGTGGTCGTTGGGAAGAGTAATGAACTTCAAGCATGTAGAGTGTACAGTGCAGGCATCCCAAGGACTCCAGGGGACAGTGCTGACCTTCATGTTCTTGGATGCAGAGAGAGGGGTCCAGACTAACCACCCTCATCCAAGAGATGAGGGCTTCCACATATTTAATCAGCACGCTGTGGGGCAGACCTTGCCCCATTCAAAGCTCTCCACTAGTCTATACAAATTTTAATTTCTTAGGGAAAAAATTCAATAAAAAGCAAGTCTCTTGTGGATCTTGTTGGCAGAGTAACTTCCATTGAAAATTAAGTGACCTTTTCCCCCGACATTGATGACAAATGATTAATTGACTATAGTACAAATGTTTCACATCAATGGCAAGATTATTATTTGAAAGATAATCAACTCAGTGATATTGTATATAATAATAATAATGATCAGCAAACAAAACAACTAAAAACAGCAAAGGCTTGGTTGCTCTCAGTCTAGTAAGTAAGTCCTACAAGATAAATTATTTAAATCCACCTAGTTTTGGAAGTTAGGTAAAGCCATAGATGTGGAAATGCCAAACAGCAGGTTTTAACTAAGGAACATGCTTTCTGAAAAGCATGTATTTAAACTCTGTAACAGGGCTGCCCTTAGCCCAGGGCAGTCCCAGAAACCTGTGGATTCAGAGAAGTGATTTTACTATTGCTGTGAAAGAAGGGCCCTTTTAGGCACAGATTCAGGTTGTTTTCTTAACTATGAGGCTGCCCAAGTCACTCGAGAGCAGGGAAGTGAGCATATCTGAGCCACCTCACAGTCCTCTTGCTTTTTTCAGAGAAGGAAGTCACATGCTTTGTGTAAAGCACATTCTTTGCATCTGGACCAACAAGAGCTCAAATCCTGGTGGTGCTGTGTGTGTGTGTGTGTGTGTGTGTGTGTGTGTGTGTGTGTGTGTGACTATATAGAGATCAGCTGTTATGCTGAGTATCTTCCTCAACATGTTACTTTTGCTCTCCATGTTACTTTTTGAGGGAGGGTCTATCATTGAACCTGGAACTCAGTAATTCAGATAGACTGGCAGGCTAGCAAGTTCCCGAGAACTTCCTCTATCCACCTTCTCAGTGCTGGGATTCAAAGTATATGCGGAAGCAAACAGTTTTCTTATGGGTGCTGAAGATCTAAACTCAGGTCCGCCTGTTTGTATGGAAGCCCCCACCCCCACCCCATCCCCAGTGTTGATGCTTTCTGAATCTCCTGGGAAATCTTCAGTAGTAAAGGGTGGTGATGTGGTAGAATATTATTTTAAGGTGTGTGACTTTTGTTTACGGTGCATTTGTTTGACTCTGTGAAACTGTGATTCTTTGCCTGTCTAAAACACCTGGTGGTCCTAATAAAGAGCCGTACGGCCAATATCCAGGCAGGAGCAAGGACAGGAATGGTTGGCAAGCAGAGAGGATAAATGGAAGGAGAAACAAGGAAGCAGGGTGGCAAGAGGACAAGAAGGGGAGGACATCAGGGGTCAGCCAGCCACCCAGCCACCCAGCCAGCCACGGAGTAAGCATGAAAGTAAGGTGTACAGAAATAGAGAAAGATAAAAGCCCAGAGGCAAAAGGCAGTCAAAATAATTTAAGTTAAGAAAAGCTGGCAGGAAGCAAGCCAAGCTAAGGCTGAGCATTCATAACTAAGAATAAGACTCTGTGTGTGATTTACTTGGGAACTGGGTGACAGGGCACCTCAAAAAGGTAAAAAAAAAAACAACAAAAAGAGTAAAGCACCAACAGTATGCTGACACCTACCTTTTGAGAGTTCTGTGAGGGAGAGATGGAACAATATGTGCATGGTGTTGTAAAAAGAGAAATCCTCACTCGTGGGAACACGGCCAGAAGTGGGGAAGGAGGGCTTACTGGTCCTGCTGATTGTGGCGACCCACGCTGGTAGGATTTGCTGAAGCCCGCTCTCTTCCTCCTTTCCTTTTCCTCTTTTTCTCTCTCTTCCCAGTCCCGTCTCTCTCTCTCTCTGCCTCTCTCTGTCTCCCTGCATCTCTGTGTCTCTCTCTGTCTCTTCTCACAAGGTCACTCTATGCTCCCTCCCCCTCCCCAGTAAAACTCCACGTGAGCCCTGTCTGCATGGTGTGTCTGTCTCTCCTGTGGTTCTATAATGCATATTATTGTCCAGTTTATTTTAAAAAATCAGTTGGAAAGCAGAGAAGCTCATGCACGGGATGTGTAATGTGAGGGAAGTCATATAGTGTAGTACACGCCACAAATCATTTATCTTTGAGTGGCACACAGTGCTTAAGCATGATTCAACCAAGACTTCTTGGCTACATTTAGTCAGAATACACCTTTTTGGTTGAGCATAGATGTTGGGACTTTGTTTTTGGTATAGAAGTTCAATCATGGGAATATAGAAGGTTAAGGGCAATCATGAGGACTCTTGAATGGTCCTGTGATCGTGATCTTTGTCAACATTCAAAGGTCTCAGATTAAGGCTTAATGCTTTTTTTCCTTGGTTTTTCGAGGCAGGGTTTCTCTGTATTGTTTTGGAGGCTGTCCTGGAACTCACTCTGTAGACCAGGCTGGCTTCGAACTCACAGACTGCCTCCTGAGTTCTGGGATTAAAGGTGTGCACCACCGATGCCCGGCTGGCTTAATGCTCTTTTACTGCAAAGGTAAACGTCATCTAAGGGTTCCAGAAGGTGCTTCAGGGAGGCCAAAGAACTAGTCAGCTATAATCGGTGTTGGCTTTTGGATTAAGGATCATCTATTATTCCTGGTAGAGTGTCTGAAGAGTTCTCTGGAGTGTGGGGGAAGGTTAAAATTTGGATTGTTTGGAAGATTTAGAGGAAGAAGCTCCCACTTAAAATTTGATCAAACTAGCTCTGACTTCTAGAACCTGAGTAGAGAATCCAGGTCCAGCTGGATTGATGGAAAGGATGCTGAGTAAGGAAACCAGGTCTGGCTGGACCCATGGAGAAGGATGCTGAGTGGAGAATCCAGGTCCAGCTGGAGCCACAGAGAAGGATGCTGAGTAAGATCAGGGTCTCGTACTCAAAAAGATTCCATTCTCTATCTAACTCCAGATGGTGTCACCCTGGAAACACCCAAGCCTGGGTGAACCTCTTTGTGTTATATATTTTTTAAATTTCTTGAAAATATTTAATAATCACTTGGACAGAGAAAAGACAACAGTTGACGTATTGGAAGTGGGAAGAGACCCCAGGCTTGTCTTCCCATGAGTTTGCACCTTCTGAATGAGACTTCCTGCAAATCTGGGGAGTTTTCTGCATTCTCAACTCCAGCATCTGGAGATGCTTTTGAACACCTGGGTTTACATTGCTGAGCTCCACTCCAGCCATGTTTAAGTTAACTCACTGGGAGGGGAGGGCTCACTTCTCCAAGGAATGCTAATATACACTGCAGCAGAAAGACACAGGGCTGTACAAGTTCCAAGCCCAGGACCCTTCAGAGGACTCAACACTGGAATACAAGGAAGAAAGAGATCCATTATAGTGCAGCAAACAGCTTCATGTCTGTATGCAGAGAGGCTTTGAGGACACATAAGTGTGTTCCTCCTTCTCTAAGAGCCTTCGGATAGTGGAGGAGGAAGTGTAGTCAGTGACCTAAGCAGTACAAGTCAACACAAAACACTGTCAACGAGAACTTCTAAGAACTGGGGAGAAGACCTGTTGCGGAGTAGGCAGATTCCAACTTTACATATTCTCTATCTTTCCTTTTGTCTTCTGCTCCTCCTGAAAAAGACAGGATGGAGACACAGTTGAGTATACACAGAGCATCATTGTCACAATAGAAGGGAATACGCCAGTGACTCCAAGCCAGCTGATGTGGGGACACCAGACCTTGAGCAGAAACCCACTTCCCCTTCGGCCTGGGAGCAGGCATCTGTGTAATGTTTACTGGAAACAATTCAGTGCTTTAAAGCTTCATAGGGCTCAGATAAGGGCTTGCTCACTGAAATACCATGACTGTCACACCCCCTACGGCTAGATGCCTCTTTCTGTCCCTGCCCCCTGTGGTGTCTCCCTGATTCTGGGGCCGGAGATTAAACCACCAGCCAGGAGGGTGAGAAGTGGAAAGAATGGTATGTAAATGGATGGCAAAAGTCCTTAAAAAGGGAAGCTCTTTTTTCTTGGAGAGACTTCTCCAGAGATTTCGCCAGAGACTTCTCCTGAGAGCTCTCCTAAGCGGACTGGGGTCTCCTCCTAAGCTGACTTGGGAAGCATAAAGTTTTCTTAAAACAACCGACCGGTCTCTGTGTCATCTATCCCACCTCGCTACATTCTCGGATGCAGGCCGCACAGCAGGTGCGACAAGCTGACTTCTTTTGGACTATGGGAATCAGGGACACCATTTATCTGCCAGGAGGTTTTGTCTCTTCTGGAGCCAGCAGGAAGGCAGCACTATCTTTATTGTTTCCCACATCCAGCCCTAGGAAGTTTACAGATGTTGACTCTGGATCGATAATGGAAATGGACAGGCCAAGATTGTAGCTTCCCTTGTTTACCTGACACTTAGTAAGTGAATGACTTTGCCGTTGACAGATACCACTGTGGGATCCAGAGAGAGATATACCCGATAAGGGCAGGTAACACAGCAATATGAAAGAGAGAAAGGAAATAAAGGAAATAAAAAGCTCCCTAGACTTGGTATCTTAAAAATAGCACATTATTTTAATACTAAATGGGCACTAAGAGGATCCGGACGGATGCATAAGATATGTAAATCTATGTAAATTCATGTACCAATTACACTGAAAAGGGTTGGGTGGCAGTCCTAAAGACCAGCCATGCTCTAAGAAGCTGTCACCTGCCAGCCTGCTTCTCCCTGGAGTTAGATTCACACCAGATGGCAGGAATTAGAAACGAAGAGACTCGGCTTCCTTGAACCTTCACCTTCCTGTCTAATTTACGCATGTGTGAGCTTTGAAGGGCTGAGACTACTCATTCAGGGATTGCGGGACACTGGTTCTGGGAAGAGTGACTCCTGACCATGTAAACTTCGCTAGGATCCTGTAAGAAATGCTAAGGTAGTGTATGTGAGGTGCTTTGTCCTTATAATAAGACAGGTTTTATTTATTGCAGGAAAACCAAATGGAAACGAGGGATTCCATTTCTTCTAAATGGACACACTGCAAACGTGCAGCTGAGCACATAGACACAGACACATGCACATCTCATTACCTCCAACGGAGCTGATACAATGTCTCCAGTGAGCTCCAGTTCTGCCCCATTCAGGCTAGTTACTGATCACGTACATAGTGTTTACTGCAGCTCCTTTCTCCACAAGAGTGTTCCCTAGGTTACTGAGTCAGCATCATTATCCAAATAGACATCTGCTCGATTTCCTTGTTCATAATGATAATGACTAGCTGGGGTCACAAAGGGTAGGCTTTACGCATAGCATCCAAATGGAAAACTTGAGAAAAGTGCAAGCTTTAGAAAAAGTGCAATTGTGTTTTGCTATTCACCTAAAGACAAACAACAAAACTAGCAAACAAATAAGGGGGTCGGTCTTATATTAGTCATTCTGTCTCATTAGAATGTTCTAGGGCTCCAGTTCTAGGATTTAGAGCTCATGGATTGCGAAGCATTGCTAGATAAGAAGAGGAGTGAGATGGACTTCAGAGAGCTCTTCAAAGCCTGCGTGGAGTCTGGGAGTTCAGGCTTAGTGGATAACCTCTGGGGAGATGTGGTCCACTAGTGGGCAGTTTGTTCTCTCGGAAGTCTGCAGAGCAGAGCTTCCTAGGCCAATGCTGGGTCTTCAGTTCTACATACTGGAAGAGTGGGGTGCACCAATGGAGTCCAGAAGTTCTGGCTGCAACTCACCTTGGATTTGGCACAAACCAAGAGCGGACCCTCCCGAAGTCAGTATCGGAAATTCCCCTGCAGGAGAGTCATGTGTTGAGGTCTGGGAACACGCTGAAATGTCCACGGAGGTCTAGAGTTGAATCATCTGAGGGGAGTGAAAGTGTCTCCAGCAATAGTCCCACACTTCCTCTTGTGGCCAGCAAGCTCCAAGCATATATTAGAGAGTATTGGAGCTGTTTTAAACTCCAGGGCAGCAACTGAGGCTCACAGTCTGGGTACTGACCCTGCCCACCTCTTCTCTGAGAGGTATATAATTCACTTTTGTGAACATCATTTTCAGATACCTGTGAGAGCCTACCTGCTCTGTTACATGAGATAAAAAAAAAATCCCAGCAGCAAACCCAGCTTGGCGAGATTGCACAGCAAAACTCCGAGTGGGTTTCGGGACTGTGTGGCTGGCATCCTTAGTTCCCTTATTCTGACATAAAGCTGGCATGGGTCCTTGCATCAGAGGAGGCAGGAGTTCATTGGCTTTTCCTCCACTCTCCTTTTGGAGGAGCACTTGACTTTCCTTCATTCTTTCTGAATCCCTGCTGCCTCGTCTGGGCTTTGTTTTCTAAGGGTCTAATTTCTTGGACGAGACAAATGTCTTCATTCTGTACATCGTGGTTGGTTGGCACTGGAATGGAAACGAGAGTGTAAATCACCTATTCCAATTACGGGGCTGAAGACCAGGAAGTGCTTTGTAGTCATTAAGTGCTCTACCAATTTTTAAGGATAATGCATTTTTCATGTCAGTTTTATACCCCAAATTTATGTCAGTTAGCTACAAATATGCTTCGCTTTGAAATTCTCTGAGGCTTACCCGGACTTGATGAGAACTCAGAAGCTGTAATGAAAGTCCAAAATGCCTTCATATAGCTTCCTTAATGCTGTATTTCTGGCTCCCTCCAGATGCAGGTCTGTTGATGGCATTCTGCACCTACCATGTCTATCAGTGGAGGTAGTACACCAGTTAGGAACTATTTTGCTATAAGCAATTAAAAAAAACCCTCGAAATTGTCTTAAATAAATTAGAGTTGGTTTTTCTCACATCATCAAAAGTCTGGAGGTTTTAATAGTTTTCTGGTTGGCTCATTAGCTCAGTATTACTAGGGCTGATGTCTCTAGGATTCCCTTAGTGCTTCCCTCCTTATTGCAAGATGGCTTCTGCAGGATGATGTAAATAAACATCAGAACCTCTCTTTGAAAGAAGGTGACTGTGGGTTTTTGTTTTTAATATTTATCTATTCATTTTGTGTGTCTGTGTAGGCATGAATAGGCCACAGTGAGCACTTGGAGGACACGGCATATGCCGCGGTGAGCACGAGGCAGTCAGAACACAACATTCCCGAGTTGATTTTCTCCTAATGCTGCGTGAGTTCTAGAGAATAAACTCAAGTTGTCAAGCTCAATGGCAAGCACTCTTATCTGATGGGGAGCGGGGGCAGTGTGTTGTTTTTAAGAGAGATTTTTGCATCCCTGACTTCCTTCCTTTGAGAAGTGGCATTTAAGCCCCCAACCCTTCAACTCTGAGTGGGTGTACATGACTTCTTCAGCAAATAGAACATGACAGAAGTAAACACCATGCGACTCCCAAAGGCAAGAGCATGAAATAAACAAGAATCTTCTGGAATGTTCTTATGAGGCACATACTTTCTGGGTGCTCCCACTGGAAGTCTTCTCTTGGGAGTTTCCTTTCAAATCCCACACCACCACCCACTAGAAGGACGGAGAAGCTTCTAAAAGAGTCTTTAAAGATGGAAGACATCTGTGGAGTTCAGGAGCATGAGTCAGCACTGTGGATAATGGCTGTGTATTAAGAGCTCAGCAGAGTTCTGCTGACCACATGGAGCACAGCAAGATGGTCTTAGCTTTGTGTTTACTCTCAGACTGTACATGTTTTTTCAATCAGCCGGAGAGGCTCAGCTCTGCTCCCCGAGGCAGCGCTCTGCTTTCCAGAGGACAGCTGGGCCTTCTCAGAGAGCGTACAGACAAGTCACACAACCTTTTCCTTTGCCCTTCATAGTGTAAGAATGGGTTGGCAGTCTCTCCCTTTCTCGCTGCTGAGTGTGTCTTAAAACTTCCTGTCATCTAGACGTCTAGCATGCCTTTTGTGAGTGTGAGTGTGAGTGTGTGAGTGTGAGTGTGTGTGTGAGTGTGTGTGTATTGGCAATGGCATTCTTTCCCTTCCCTTTTGAAACATATTGTTCTCCCTTGAAAACATCATTATGCCTCCTTCTGACAGCTACCAGTCATTTAATTCCTCCCTTCGTTTTAGTTCCATTTTCTGTTTGTAAAAAGCACAGGAGAGAGCTTGCTGCGGCAGCCACTACGTGCCATATTTTAGAGTGCTCTTATTTCCTAGTGCCTACAATGCCTTGAATATGAGAAAGACTCAAGAACTCTGCTCTGTGCGAGTGAATGAACAGCTGCATGGTGAAAGGTTCACACGGACGATACAAACCCACGATTAAAGTATGGTACTGCAGTGAAATAAACCACTGTGCTTAACAGGTCACAAGTCTGAGTGACGGGTGTCTCTCTTCTGTCCCAATCTTCTGTGAATGTGCCCATGTACTCGTTTATTTCACAATATTTGCTGAGTGAGTGCTTTGCTCCAGCTCTGAGCATTTCTAGGGAGACTTTGTGATGCCATGGTGGAGGTGGTCAGGCAGGATGTGGAGAGCCAGACAGAGCATGAGAAAGTGTGGTTTCACCCTCACTTTTCCTATCTCAGTTTAATGCCAGGGAATCCCAGAGGGGAACTAGCTTCTGGTTACATTAAAAAAATACTTCTTTTATATTTGAGATAATATAATGACATCATTTTCTCCTTCCAGACTCTCCCATATATCCTCCCCCCTTATTCTCTTTCAAATTCATGGTCTCTTTTTTCCTTGTTGTTACATGTATTTACGTATTCCTACATATAACCTGCTCAGTCTGTATGTTACTTGTATGTATGTTTTCAGGGTTGACCCATGTGGTATTAGATAAGCAACTGGTATGCTCTACCCTGGAGGAGACTATTTCTCCCACTTGCAGCATGTTTTAGTTGCCTTTGTGTAGGATGGTTACGTTTTTTGAAGATCAGTTTTTCTTACCTTCAACACCTGAAACCCTGCTTTGGGAATGAAGGACCTTCTCTTCCAAGTTCTTTCTGTGTCCTCAGAGGGTAGTTGCCAGACAGGGTGATCAGTGATTTGACTCTAGGCTCTGGGGTTTCCAAGCTTTCTACTGAAGCATCCTGAGAAGCCGCCTGTCTTCAGAGATACGGAACATACAGGAAGGACTAGCAGGAGACACAAGGTATCAAAGCTTGAAGCCTGATTCTAAAGAGCTGTTCAAGAATGGGTGTGCTGTGAATTTGGTGCTGTAGTCCTTGGGGACAGCCTGCTATGGGAGGCACAGTTTGAACAACTAGGGCACATACTGAACCTCAAAAACCCTCCCAAACCACATCTGGTCTACATGCACTGGAACTCTTTCCCATGGTCAACTGGGTTAGCAGCTAAGTCTCAATAGTTACTCTCCCTCAAGCTATGTCAGGGGCTTCCAAGATGCTTAGAACTTATAAATATAAAAAAGAATCTAGTTACTCTTGGTGGGGGTGTTCCATGTAGAGTTCTGGGAGCCAAATAGAACAATGCAAGAGTCTCGCCCTTGTCAGACAGTGTGAAGGGATACCCCATGACAACGAAAGGATATTCTAAAAATATATCCAAAGCTTGTACTAGAATTTTCTTCCACCATGTCCTAGCAAAGTAACTTTAATTGTGAGTAATCTCCAAACCTTATTTATCTTATGTGTAAAGCAAGAACCTAGTATCCATGACACTTAGTGGTTGGAAAGATTCAGTGCCTGGTGTAGAGTAAAGTTCGATATATTTGTTGTTACCATTTTAATTTATGGTTTTAATAAAGATAAATAAGAAGGACTCAAAGTATGTTTGGAGACTCTCTAGACTTCTGTGTCTGGAGAAAATATTGATCCCTAGCGACTGGCCCATTCTCAGCCTTTATTTATTCTCCACTAGGTCCAACTTTAGGGCTGGTTTGGATTTGCTGAATGCTGAGAAAGAGAGATTTTCTATTTTACTTTCTCCTCTTTTCTCTAAGAACGAGATATTCCTATCCAATGAGATCATGACTTCTAGAATATTTTAAATGGAAATAAAAAGTCTCTGTCTTCCCTACAATTTTTCATGCTCTACATTGTTCCAGTTTCCTACAGTTATTACCGTCCCTTACTGACCATTCTGCCTTTCTGATTTGCATCCAGCTCTCAGTGTGGTCAAATGAGATTATAGTGTGGTTTTTGGGGAAGGGCTTTAGGCATTCATGGCACGGGACTAGGACTTTGCTTCTGGTTACAGACTTTAGAAGTCACCATAACAATAAGTTAGTTTTCTTTTATGTTCAACTAAACTTTTTTTAAAAGTTTCTGACATTGTTGTTCTGTTTTGTGTTTTTTTTCAATCTTCTTTGTTGTCCTAGATTCAGTAAATCACGTTGATGCCTTACTGTGGGCCAAAGTCTATACTTCCATGTATGGTGATTCCCTCCTAACTAGTGCCACGCTGCTTCTCTGGGTTGCATGTAGTTGTGTTTCTTGGGGGAAATGCCTTAGCTCTCTAGTTGATCAATAGCAAAGCAAATGACAAAAATGTCATATGAAAGGTCCCTGACAGATTGAGAAGAAATTACTATGAATTTTGATTTTGCATTTTTATTTTTGCTCAAAATGTTTTCTTACTCAGATTCCGAAGCCACTTATTGACCTAACATGATTCTAACAACGTCTTCCTCCTCATGTTCCTGCTCCGGCTTCTGCTCCTCTCGACAGAGTCTTGCATCTTGTAATGCAGACCCATCTGGACTCGATCCCATGATCTCCTTTGCTCTGCCTCTCAAGTGCTGGAATTTCAGGCTTGTGTTCCTATGCCAGGTTCATGTTTCAGGTTTTGAAAACAGTATATATTGCCCTTAATGATATCCAGTACCTGAAAAATCAAACGGGTTTTCAGTACTACTTAATTAGGTGGCAGTGTGTCTGCAATACAGTGCAACGGGCACCTCCTGCAACAGTGATGATATGGATCTTTGGAATGCTGGACACCTTCTACTTCATTTTCAGCCTTAGTTGATCACATACAAGGAACTGGATTTGGGAGAAGCTGCAGTGACTTCAACTTAGTAGATGCATTGCTTTTCTGAAAATGGTTAGATTGTCTTGTTTCTGAGGGAAGCATGAACCCAATGCCAGAAAAGAAAGACTTAGACAGAAGCAGGTTTTCTACTGCACACAAAGCCACTCTGAGAGCCACCAACTACTTCATTTGGATAAGATGAAAATATTAAAAGCAAAGACAGACAGAAACTAGGAGTGTTTGGATACCGCGAAGCTGACTGGCTGGCTGGAAAATTGTGTTGATTTGTGACTTAGAAATCCTTTCAGGCTTGCTATAGTTTTAACCTGTAAGCAGGAAGCAAACAACAGCATTTTCTAATTGAAGAGGAAAAACAATTTTACACACACATACACACACATATATATACATACACACACACACACACGCACATATATGTGTGCATGTATTTGTGAAGGCCTAGAAACATGCTTGCATATAAAGAAGACTATTGTCACTAATAGTTTTTTTTTAAAGGAAAAAGATTTGGTGTTCCCAGAAAGCCTGGGTTTGAATAAGATCTTGAGGTACCTTGTACTATCCTTGGATACTTTCTGGGACCTTCTTTCACTTAATTGCATTCAGATCATTGTCTAAGGGCCTGTTCCTGGGATAAAACTATCTTAGACACTGGGATCCTTTCCACCCTATCTTTTTCCTACTTGTGGTGGTTTGAAAGCAAATGGCCCCCAAGGGGAGTGGTGCTATTAGGAGATACGGCCTTGTTGGAGGAAGTATGCCACTGTGGGGGTGGGCTTTGGGGGTCCCTATTTCTCAAGCTTTCCTCAGTGTGACAGTTTACTTACTGTTGCCTCTGAGTCAGCACATAAGGACTGTCAACTCCAGCCCCACACCCGCCTGCACACTGTCGTGTTCTCTGCCATGATGACAAGGCACCGAACCTCTGAAACTGTAAGAGAGTCATGCCAATTAAATGTTTCCTTTATAAGAGTTGTCATGGTCATGGGCGGTGTAGCGGCTTGTAATTCCAACACTCAGATGGTAGGAAGAGAGAAGCAAGCTGACTAGCTAGACTACCAGAGTCAGGGAGCCCCGGATTCAGTTGGGGGAAACTGCCTCAGTGAATTAGCTGGGCAGGAAGACTCTAGATGCCAACTCTGGCCTCCCCATGCACACACACACACACATACACACACACACACATACACACACACTCATACATACCCACAAACATGCACACACACATATGCACACTTTTCTTAAAAAGTGAATGCCAGCATCCAGTGGTAATGAATCGGTGCAGGTGATGAACCCCATTCTGACAGGTGGGGCTCATCCTTATTGTTTCAGAATCAGCCTCTCTCTTTCATCCCCCCCAACACAGTCCCGCCCCATCACTCCTATACTGCCACAATCCCATTCTCATTTCCAGAGAGAGAACAATGTGAAACAGAGCTGACAACGATCCAGACTCTAGCTGATTTTTGAGCAGACACCCAAGGGAGTCTTGCTGCGCTCATGGGAGGAAAGGAAAATGACTATTCCAGCTCCATGTGTAGTCTCTGGATTCCCAGCCAAGGTCTCTGGCCCTTTGTAGTCATGTTATAACTTTGTTGATCACAAGGGGGAAAAAGGTCTTTTGTTTGGGGAGTGTTTAAAGGCATACATTCATGAAGAGATTTAAAAATGTTGGCAGGGTTGTGGATGTTGAAATTTGCTCCTTAGCAGGACTCCCAACTAGTTTATGTGTAGCCAATCAAAATGAATGGTTTTTAGTTCTACAGGGAGAAAAAGGGTGAACGCTGTAAAACAAAGTGAGTTGACCAGAGTCTTCCAATGCTTGTCGACTACTCCGAGGGAAATGGATACCCCCTGTGGTGCAATCACTACTCATTTATGCATGATTCCCAACAGTAAACACAGGGATAGAGCATGATCGAAACCCAGACACTTCACTGATGTTGAGTCTCAGTTCACTCACATATTTATGCGAAGGCACACTATTATGGCTTTTCTGTAAAGTCTGGTTCATCTAGGAAATATTCATATTACTGCAGAAAGCTCCTTCTGTGTTAGGAGGAAAAGTCCAGGTTGGTCACAGCTTAATTGCCACCAGCTACTCTGTGTGGCCAGGCTGTTGAGACCTGATTTAGAAGCCAAGAACTTGGAAAAAGATCGGGTTTGAGCCTGAGGCCAATGAGAGTTTTCACACATGTATGTTTCTATTCTGAAATGAGAGGTAAGAAAAGCCAGAGAACAGATCAGTCCAAAGACATGTTACTCTAGCCAAAGACCTGCCATTCTGTGCTGCTTATATAAATTATAGAATTTACTACCTCAGATGAACTTCTTAGGTCATCCTTTCCATTTCGAAGATGAGCAATTGGAGCTTAAGATGTTCGGGAATTTACTCAAAGTTGTTCAGTTAGGGATATAACCCTGTCCACTCTCCGTATCTTTTCCAAAGTGGTTCTCAACCTTGCCTGAGGCTATGGAACCCCTTCTCCAACAGACAAGTTCTGTGCCACTGAACGACTTCTCATGACTGTGGTTGAGGAATCAAGCATGTGCGCATGGGTCTGTGCATTCTGTGGTAACTGGACCCTCATGCGTGATGGTGTAGTGTAGGGATCTGCCGCCTCTATCCTGTTCATTTCAGGGTTCTTTTGACAGCCCATTGTCCACATCATTCTAGGGTAAGGAAAAGCAAGAGAGGAGTGGAAAGACCACTTAGGATTCTTCCTTTACTTTAACACTTTCTTCTCTACCTCCAACCAGTGGCCAAGGGCCTCTAATCCTGCCTTTGAACTGCGGGGCTCCATGTTCACACCAGGAGCTCCTCCCACAGGGCACAGCACTGTTGCTGAGTCTGTCTGCCTCTCACAACTCTGAGTTGAAGTTACTGAAGCAGTCTCCCAATGACATCTCAGACCTATTTTCCTTCCTCCAGTAACCCTGTCAGGAGCACCCTAGCTGAACGTGTCCTCCGACAACCCTGGCTTCACATTAATCTCTTCCTGGGAAATCCCCTATACCACAAACTAATACTGTCTTGATATAAAAATTCAAGTTATAAATTCCCTGAATTAGCTTTAGAGTCCTAATCAGTTGGCTTTCATTCTGTTAGGAGCATTATACTATGTCAGCTTAATTTTGTATTAATTTGTATTTGTAAATTTGATTTCACAATAGACCTCTTGGAATGAATGAAGCATGGGCTTTGTAATTAGACAAACTTGAGTGGACATTTTGCTTTGCCTAATTATTGGTTCGAAGGGCTTCAGTAAATATCCTAGTCTCTGAATGCCACAGTTTCCTTGTTTGTAAAATGATCACAGCAATGAGTATCTTTCAGAGACCTTAGGAGGGCTAGAAAGATGTACTTTCAGCTTTGCAAATTTTATGTTACCTTTCTCCAATGTGAATCAATCCCCAGGTGAGATTATTTCCTCTCCTGACTTGTAAATGCGGCATGTTCACTTCTGGCTCTAAATCTTGATGCATTCATGTCCTATTCCTTGAGAAATCCCTCTCTCCCATTGGCTCTATGCAAATTCTATTTTTATTAGAGCATACTGGCTTATATTTGTTTCTTTTTTTAAAAAAGAGGATAGGAGAGGGGGAGACGGGAGGAGAGGGAGAGAGGGAGGAGAGGGAGAGAGGGAGGAGAGAGAGAGGGAAAGAGAAAGAAAGAGAGAAGCCAGGCTTATATGTCTGTTCTGCCTGAAATTATTTAGTTGGTTATTTATATACCTGTGGATTCTGCTTAAACGTAATCTCTGGAAATCTTTCCCCAACATTCTGCTCTGTTCTCTAGACCTCCTGAGTGAACAGAATAGACAACAAGCCATTCATTACTCACTTAGCCTAATTCTTCATATATAAACCATTAAATCAGCTGGGCTGTGGTGGTGCACGCCTTTAATCCCAGCACTCGGGAGGCAGAGGCAGACGGATCTCTGTGATTTTGAGGCCGGGCTGGTCCAAGCCTCCAAAACAATACAGAGAAACCCTGTCTCGTAAAAACCAAAAAAAAAACCCACAAAAAAAATCACATTAAATCAAGAGGGTATGTCCCCCTCCCATGGAATGCTAGTCTCCAGGAAGCTGTCAAAGGTGTTTGCAGTTTTATGTTTCCACCAGAATCTAGCCTTTTGCCAAGCATCTTCTAGGTGCCCAATGAAAATTTGGAGAGTATTGGTAAAATTTGGTAACGAAATTTAGATCACACACAGGAAGAAGGTTCTTAAGGTCCCTGGCCAAAGAAAAGTGAAAATTAGTATTTAAGTCAAGATGTGGGATGCTATTTGGTTATGCCTGACATCCTTTTGTTGTATTTAGTTAGAGGCAAGAGATTCTGTTGTTAGCCCCTGTCTATTCCCATTTTTTCTTTTTAAATGATCTTGGAGTAAGTTTTAAAAATAGTTTCCAGGGTCTGGAGAGATGTCTCAGCAGTTAAGAGCACTGGCTGCTCTTACAGAAGACCTGCGATCAATTCCTAGCACCCACTTGGTGGTTCACAACCATCTGCAGCTCCCATTCCGTCAGATCTGATGCCCTTTTCTGACCTCCATGGGCACTACACATGCGTATGGTACACAGACATACGTGCACCCATTCACATGAAACACATTTAAAATAATGTCAAAGGCTTGTGAGGGGAGAAGCCCAGTCATGGAGCAAGCTTATGGACACATTTTACAAACCTATGCATGTGGTATCTATTTGAGTAGCTCACATAAAATTTTAAACTTGAATTTCTTTACATTTTTTTTCTTAAAATTGTTTGTGTATATACTCTGTGCGTATGTGCAGAGGTTAAGGTCAACTTATGAGAGTCAAATATTTTCTTT